GTAACTACGCGTTTATGAAATCGGAGAAACAAACCCAGAAAAATCCTCGATTAACCCAAATCTTAATCATCCTCTTTCTACATCCCAAAGTTTGAATTTTTTTCTTTGTTTCGTTGAGATATGTCACCGGAATCTTGGAAAGACCAGCTGAGTCTGGTTTCGGCTGATGATTATCGGATCATGGGTCGGAATCGGATCCCTAATGCCGTCACGAAGCTTTCCGGACTCGAAACCGACGACGGAGACGGCGTAAACGATCCAAACGGCGGCGCGTGGGTTACAAAACCGAAACGGATCGTGGTTTCGAATCAGCTTCCTATTCGTGCTCACAGAGACATTTCGTCGAACAAGTGGTGCTTCGAATTCGACAATGACAGTCTTTACTTACAACTCAAAGACGGGTTTCCTCCGGAGACGGAAGTCGTCTACGTCGGTTCCTTAAACGCCGACGTTTTGCCCTCTGAGCAAGAAGATGTCTCTCAGTTCTTGCTTGACAAGTTTCAATGTGTTCCTACTTTCTTACCTAGTGACTTGCTCAACAAGTATTACCATGGTTTCTGCAAACACTATCTATGGCCGATTTTTCACTATCTCCTACCCATGACTCAAGCTCAAGGATCTCTCTTTGATCGATCGAATTGGAGAGCTTACACGAAGGTTAACAAGATTTTCGCTGATAAGATCTTCGAAGTGCTTAACCCTGATGAGGATTACGTCTGGATTCATGATTACCATCTCATGATTTTACCAACTTTTCTCAGAAACAGGTTTCATCGGATAAAGCTTGGGATTTTCCTTCATAGTCCTTTCCCTTCCTCTGAGATTTACCGTACGTTGCCTGTGAGAGATGAGATTCTTAAAGGGTTTCTCAATTGTGATTTGGTTGGGTTTCATACTTTCGATTACGCTAGGCATTTCTTGTCTTGCTGCAGTAGGATGCTGGGCCTCGATTACGAGTCCAAAAGAGGCTACATTGGTCTTGAGTACTTTGGAAGAACGGTGAGCATCAAGATTTTGCCGGTTGGAATCCACATGGGGCAGATTGAATCGATTAAGGCTTCGGTGGAAACCGCAGAGAAAGTGAAGGGATTGAGAGAGAGGTTCAATGGGAAAATTGTGATGTTAGGTGTGGATGATTTGGATATGTTCAAAGGTATTAGCTTGAAGTTTTGGGCGATGGGTCAGCTTCTTGAACAGAACGAAGGGCTTCGTGGGAAAGTTGTTCTCGTGCAGATTACTAATCCTGCTCGGAGTTCAGGTAAAGATGTTCAAGATGTAGAGAAACAGATACATTTGATTGCTGATGAGATTAATTCTAAGTTTGGAACACCTGGTGGTTATAAGCCTATTGTGTTTATGAATGGACCTGTTAGTACTTTGGATAAAGTGGCTTATTACGCGATCTCGGAGTGTGTTGTGGTGAACGCTGTGAGAGATGGGATGAATTTGGTGCCTTACAAGTACACAGTAACCAGGCAAGGGAGCCCTGTTTTGGATGCAGCTTTAGGTTTTGGGCCTGATGATGTTAGGAAGAGTGTGATTATCGTCTCTGAGTTCATCGGTTGTTCTCCATCTCTGAGTGGTGCGATTCGTGTTAATCCTTGGAACATCGATGCAGTCACTGATGCGATGAGCTCTGCCATCACAATGTCAGACAAAGAGAAAACCCTGCGGCACCAGAAGCATCACAAGTACATAAGCTCTCACGACGTGGCCTACTGGGGTCGTAGTTACGACCAAGATCTTCAGAGGGCGTGCAAAGATCATTACAACAAGAGATTCTGGGGAGTTGGATTTGGTCTTGGGTTCAGAGTTGTTGCGTTAGATCCAAATTTCAGAAAACTCGGTGTTGAAACCATAGTCCCTGCGTATAAGAGAACAAGCAGTAGGTTGATCCTATTGGACTATGATGGGACAATGATGGATCAGGATACTTTGGATAAAAGGCCGAGTGATGATCTCATCTCGCTTCTCAATCGCTTGTGTGACGACCCCAACAATCTAGTCTTTATTGTCAGTGGTCGAGGTAAGGATCCTCTCAGCAAATGGTTTGACTCTTGCGCAAATCTCGGTATCTCAGCTGAACATGGTTATTTCACTAGGTACTGCTAAACCCTTTCCTTCATCATCTTGTCTCTCATTTGTGTAAAGCTAATTAATATGTTTGTTTGATAATCACAGATGGAACTGTAATTCCCAATGGGAGACAAGTGTACTGCCTGCAGATTTAAGTTGGAAGAAGATAGCTAAACCGGTGATGAATCACTACATGGAAGCGACTGATGGATCATTCATAGAGGAGAAAGAGAGTGCAATGGTGTGGCACCACCACGAGGCTGACCCTTCATTTGGTTCTTGGCAAGCTAAGGAGCTTCTTGATCACCTAGAGAGCGTGCTCACCAACGAACCTGTGGTTGTCAAGAGAGGACAGCACATCGTAGAAGTTAAACCTCAGG